ACTGGAACTCGAACTCGAACTGATCGATACGCACTGTGCATCCACTTATATAGCTGCAGTGCTTGCCTGTGGCGTAATGAGTGCCACGTCACAGTAGGACGTTGATTACGGTTACGTTAGCGTTGCGCGTTACGTCACCGCGTGACGTCACCGCGGAGGGGAGTGGCGGGGAGCGCTACGTTATCGTGGAGAGGAGGGTGGAGGGGGGTTCTCAGTCGCGCAACATGTTACAATATTGTTTGTGTGACGGACCAGAATGAAACAAATCAAATTCACGGGATGTTAATTAATTAATTTTAATTAAGGTCAATTTGTTTTATTCAGGAAATAATGCTTTCACAAGCGACACGATATTTTTACATACAGTGGAACAATTTTAGCAAGAGAGAGAGGACACCTGAGTTGCCTCTTTGGTATAGTGGCCACAGTTCCTGGCTCCAGTTCCAGAGGTCCTGGGTTCGATTCCCGGCGCTACCAGATTTTCTGAGGAGTAGTGTGTCTGTAACGGGGTCAACTCAGCGTCGTGACGGTCATTGAGGAGCTACTTGAAGGGAAAAGCAGCGGCCCCGGTCTAGAAAACAGAAATTAACGACCGTGGGGATTCGTTGCGCTGACCACGCGACACCCTCGATCCGCAAAGTTGGCACTAACTCCGCCTGTCGTTGTTTACGTTCCCTATAGAACGGACAGTACTTTGTAAGATGACACACCGACTAAATAATTAACATTAATATTACTACATCTACATCACGAGCCTCCAATAACAGTTTTTATACACAAAATATAGAATTCTCCAATTTGTCCATGGGAACGAAACAAATCACAAAAACCAACGACTGACTCGATGACGTAAAGCATCAGTCGAAAAATTTTATTCTTGTTTTATACTATAATGTTTGTTTTATATAATCTAACTTATTGTATTTTTACGTCAAGTATTTTAATATAATTACGTTGTTGAGGATCAAATTTGGGGATTGAAAATTTAAGTCATTACCTAGGTGCCTGGAGACTTGCGAAAAGTGTTTTGCAGTGAAAGAGCAAAGATGACAACACATGGACACGCAATGAGGTTAAGAATGCGATAATCAGCATTCATGCGTAATACCGTGTGCAAGACGCGCCGCTAACTAGGCCACTGGAGGTGGTCATATGAGCAAATACACAGCGACAAGACGCAAGAGGTCCACCCCCAGCCACATAGAATATCCAATGAAAGCCTAACGTTAAGAAAGTAGAACACAAGGGAGGAGCTATCTACCCCCTTGTCGTCCACGCTGAATCAGCGAATTAAGACTATAAATGAGGGAAAGTCAAGAGACTTAGAATTCTGATTTTAAACAGAATAGAGAGTTGTCAGCCGAAGGCTATCGGCGACATGTATTCCATAAGAGGGTGGACAACGGCCGTAATCTACATTTGTATTGCAAGTAAGTCTTTTCGCTCATATACGCCATGCTGTTAGATGTTATTGTTAAGAAAAGTGTTATTGTGTGATTATAAGGCAGTCTCCAGTGTACCAAGTGAGATCCAGGGTAGAACAGGGTAGAAATGAACGGAGAGTGACAGACAATGATAGGAGCACAGTTTCAAGGCACCTCCCCTCCACAACCAAGGTCGGTAGAATTAGTTTAGGATAAAAGTCAGGATAGACAGATCAAAAGCTAACCTTTTTCTTCATGTAATTATTATTGTAAATAGACAGTGTACATAGTAGAAAATGTACGCAGGGAGTTCTGATTCACCCGCCAGTAACCATCCTGTCCTCGACCGCTCCCGAGCTACCATAGCTAAGACAGCCGACGGCAGCCGAGTGGAGCGCCGATGTTAGGAAATGAGTAACGACAGACCCAAGTACTTATAATTTCTCACCCCTTCCCCCTTGAGGTGTAACATACGTAATATTATTGTATCCAATTTTATTAATACTGCAGTTCAGTGGTGTAAACATGTATTTGCTTGATGATGGCTTTTAATAGCCGAAACATGTAGCAGAGCCAAAACTAAGCACTGACCTTGATATAGTTGTGTTGTGACGGTCTTAATAAAGAAGTTATATATTATAACACAACAGGATGCATGAAATGCAAATCTGTTTTGCCCCGCCGGGCAGTCTGGGTGGCGTTTGACATATATACAGTGGAACCTCGCTTAACGAGCACCTCTCATAACGAGTAATTCGCATATCGGGCAAAACAAATTGTAAAAACAAAAATGGCTCGCATAAAGAGTGACGAGAGGGGAAGCCCCGGATTGTGCGCTTGCTACATCAGTCTGTGTTTAGCACTCGTTCCGCTAGCTCTTAGTGTCGCTTGTGATCACACATTTTTCCAAACTTGTGTTCAGACATATTGTCATTTTTTTTGTGCAAAGTTTAATAACCCTTGCAAAAATGTCCCCGAAGAAAAAGCCGCAAAAAGACAGCCATAAGAGAATAAAAATAACCATAGAAACAAAACGTAAAATCATCGAAACGTGAGAACGAGGTGTGAGCGTGGCTGATCTAGCACGCACATACAGTCGGTCTACATCAACAATTTGCACGATTTGGAGTTGCATTGTGTTTCACAGCAAGAAGTTGTGGAGGAGAGTTTGGCAGAGGAGGAGGAGGAGGTAACAGCAAAGCAACAATCTTCTGGCGCAATAAGAGAAATGCTGAAAGCATGGGAAACTGTTGCATCGTACATTGAGAAGCATCACCCTAATAAGGCAGTGGCTATGCGCGCTACAAATTGATTTAATGATAATGCTGTGTCGCATTTTCACCAAATTTTGAAGTGTCGGCAAAAAAAAATGTCTCTAGACAGCTTTCTAGTAAAAGAGAATTAGATATGTATCATAAATAATAAACTAATTATTTCGTTTTTTTTCTTTTTCTTTTCTGCAAATCGAATTCGAATTCCAGGTTGGTTCATTCCGCATAGAAGAAAAGATGAAGATGATTCACGCTCCTTAACAATGTATATATAATTTTCTTTGAATAAACGTTATACATAAAATTTTTTGAGTATTTTTTTCGGAATGGAACGCATTATCGTATTTTACATTAATTTATATGGGAAAAATTGTTTCGCTTAACGAGTGTTTCGCATTACGAGTAAGATTCTGGAACGAATTATGCTCGTTGAGCGCGGTTTCACTGTACCATGCTTACAGAAACAAAATTATCAGCTTCATGAGCCTTTTGTGTCGTCTAAAGAAGAAAATTAATCAGAGAATCACGTTAGAATAGCCGAAACTTGGAAACTACGTGGCAACGCAAAGTGAGAAGACTGGCTTGCTCAGTTGCCTGGGAGTTGAGCTTCAGTCTTCCGCGAGTTGCGGTGCCGTTTCCTAAATTTGTGCTGCTCCATTCCGTTCCATGTGTTCATCTCAGTCTGATAACGATTCTCGTAAACTGCGGTTGCCAGTTTCCTTGGTGTGCTTTCGCCCTTATTCTTCGACCTAGAAGATGCAGGATATATGTTTCTCCGAAACGTCGGTTGATTTTCAACGAACTACACGGCGTTTTATTCGAAAAGATAGAACTCCTCGTGATTATTAACCATCGGTTATATGAGGTCTGAGAATTATTTCTTGGGTTATGACGCAGAATAAACTGATAGGTGGTATCAACGGAGGACATATGGTACAGTCATCTTCAGAGTAGAAATCGTACACTGACGATGGAGGCAGCCTTTTCCTCCGAAACGTCGGTAGCCACATGCCAAACTACGCGATGCAGTGACCCAAAGGCTGCAATCAAAACCTGGGTACCATAAAACTCTTGCAGTTTCTTCACCGGGTCAGTGACTATCAGCTTTCCAAGGAAGAATTCCCCCCGTGACATCCTTCTGAACACTGAAGTTATACCTTTTGTTTCAGGTGAGCAAGCGTCACTTCCGGAACGCAAGGGCACAGTGGCGCACTGGATGCACAAAGTGGTGAGGACGAGGCGATGTATAGCAATATTCGCAACGCTCAGCACATGCGCACTGGTGCTGCTGGTGACGTTACTCGTGTTACTGCCGCACCATGACGAGGCTAAAGGTACGTCGGTTCGACTCCCCGAGGACGGCAACATATCCCCAAGGTTCACTTACCAGGGTAATTGTATTAATATAATTTTAATCGCATTTTCACATAAACCTCTTTGCATTTGTACTAAAAACGACAGCCACAAACATTTTTCATGTTAATTAAACCCAAAATGATTACAAAATTATGTCGATAAATTAAATAAGTACTGTCCGGTTATTCCCACGCATGAACCACACTGCTCGCCGTGAAACACAATGCCGTCAAGCGGCCCACAAAGTTAATATCTTCCCCTAATTCCAAACGTTATCGGCCATGAGGCACACCGATTCATTCATAAAAATTCGTATGCGCCTCGCAGCCTGCGATGCACCGGTTGCCGTGAACCGGTCAACAAAGCCAAGAAAATCCCAGTAGAACGTAAGATTCTTTCATTCTAAAGCCAGAACAACATACAGTAAATGCAAGTTGTGTACTGTCAGACAGCGGTCTGTGCAACAGATAATTATAGGCGTACTCAAGTGAAAATGTTCGGCTGAAATGAAAGAGAACTCAGTTTCATTGTTCTTAGTAGTAAATCTAGGATTCTTTCTGCGTGTTTATTTTCCTTTCTTCTAGGACCTTGCATCCTTACCTAAATAATTATCTTTAGTTACATTACATATTTAGAACTAATAACATAAATTTTCACGCCTATATATGTCATCAGGGGGCATGCGGTAGCGTAGTTGGTTGAGACAATATGCTACAAGCCGGAAGGTCGCTGGTTCAGGTCCCAATTATGTCATTGGATATTTGTCAATTGACCTAATCCTTCCAGCCGCACTATGGCCCTGGGGTCGACTCAGCCTCTAACCCTATGGGACTTCACGGCCTGTTACAGGGTTAGCTTTACCTTTTTTTTTTCTTACCTTTACCAGTATCTATTCTGCCTACAGAAGAAGGAAAATAAAGATCTTAGTATAGTCGTTGGCCATGCATAATGACAGGCAGTTATCAGCAGGTAAATTACCTTATCGTTAAGAAAATTCGTGGTCGCTGGCGACGGCTGTCAGTTGGCCACGATACCGTAATGGTTTACTGAATTCCGTGAACACATGGGCGCATTTTTCAGCTATTTATGATACCGTATCGTTCATCAGATTCCATGAACATGTGGTGACAGTTGTGCCCTATACTTAAGTGTATTGAGTGAATACCCAGAGACAGCTATCACTTTGTTGTGGTTCTCTGTGTCGATGACTGCACAAACGGTGACGGCTGACGGTTGTAATACTATATCTTTCAGTGAATTTCGTGAAAACACAGAGACGGCTGATAGTCGGTTACAGTACTGTATCCATTAGTGACCTCTGTGGACAGCAGACAGCACAGTCGATGGACTTACGCTCAAGCCTCCGGACCGGCACGTGTGCGCGTACAGCGGCTAGTGGCGGCGGATATTCCTAGAGTAAGAAACTAATTGTTTTGGCTCCAGCCGTGGGAATAAACAAATAGAGTTAAAGAATACATACAGGTAAGTAGGCAAAAATAAATTACGAAAGGAAATAAGAAAGGGTGGAAAAGGAATGAAGATATTATTAAAAGTAAAAGCTAAAGTTGCCCCTGTGCTTAACTAATTAAGCCAGTACGCCTTGAAGACGTGTGGAGGAGTGGATGGATAGATCCACATTTTTTTTTGGCCTCGGCACTAGTTGAAGGTGAGTGATCAGCTTCAGGCCCCGACCGCTTTACCCCCGGTACCCATTGTATAGGAGGTTGGGTGGACCCCAGAGCCGGTCTGGACGACTTGTGATTTAAAGGAGCAAACAAATAAATTAAATAGTAATAAGTTACGTAGATTCATACATATTATAAACAAAAACGAATAAAGAATAGAAAGAAATATATTAAGAATTAAGAAAACATAAAGAACGCAAGAAAGTACCAGCTAGAGAAAGGAGTAGGCGGTAGAGGAAGTGTGTGTTTTGATTTGTAGCCTATTTGGTCCCGAATAAACTGCAGACACAAACTCCATAATTCAACAAGTGGTGAAACGAATATAACTGTCGGACTGTAAAAAGACCTAACAGTGAAAGAAGCGGAAGAAACAATATAAATATGAAAGAAACATGCCGGAAATGAAGTAAAAGAGAAGTAAAGAAGAGTCAGAAACACAGAGAAAGATCGATATGTTTCCGAAGACAATTATATCGCCGATCAGATTGGTCGCGCTGTTTAGGGCAAGAACTGTTTTCGTTCGCTGAAACACTGGGGTCGTGCGTTCGAATCCCACTCAAGGCATGGATGTCTGTCTGCGTGTATTCTGTGTTTGTGTTGTGTGTATAGGTAGTGGCCTTGCGACGGGCTGATTCCCCGTCCAAGGAGTCCTACAGACTGTTTATGATTAAGAAACTGAAGTGAAACGAAGAGTTTTACAGATTCCCTATGCTCCAGAGGGAGTCACAGGAAATATGAATGAATATTATATCACAGCGCAAATAATTCGTTAGGAAATAAAACGGAATGCCCTATCAGAAAGGTCAAAATGCACTTGCTGCAGACGTTAAGCGTCTCTACCGTTACTACGAAGACGTGAGGCATGAGGCAGGTTGTGTGGTTTTGCGAATCAGAATATAATGGAATGAACTCATGGAAAACCCAGGGAGTGGACTTGGAAAGCTAGTTGCGAGTAACAGCTTGGACCAGAACTACAGATAAGGTACTCGTAGCTTAACTCCTTGCGATACAGTTAATTAGAACCATTATTCTCGTGACGTCAGACTGGTGACACTTCTTTTTCTTAAACCAGTAGGTGTATTGCACAGTACTTTTCGCTTGTAGAGTGGCGAAGGGGGGGGGGTAATTGTGGGCTACGCGAGCCTCCCGTTAGTGTCCATTCTTGTACAGTATATAGGCCCAGTTTTAACTGCAGCTTGTATTACATTCATGTCCTTTTATTAAATTCTCCCATGTAAATTACTGCTGGCCGGTCACGGTAGCCGAGCGGTCTAAGGCATGTACTGTCATCGCTCGCTTGGAAACCGGGATCGTGGAGTCGAATCCCACTCAGGGCATGGATATTTAGTTCGTGTGTGTGCGTTTTTCTGTGTTCGTGTACAGGTAGAGGCCTTGCGACGAGCTGATCACCCGCCCAGGGAGTCCTACCGAATGTGTAAGATCTAGAAAAACCGAAGTGAACGGAGAAGTTCATGGAGGTAGGCTTAGGCCCACTGGGGCTGTGGTGCCAAGGAAAAAAAAATTACTGCTGTCAGTAGCCCTTCATGGTAAAGTTTTCCCTGTGCTTAACTAATTAAGCAATACGCAATGAAGACGCATGGCGGAGTGGATGTATAGACCCACGTTTTCTTAACCTCGGCACTAATAGGAGGTGAGTGGTCAGCTTCACGGCCCGGCAGCTTTACCCCCGGCACCCATTGGATAGAGGGTTGGATGAACCCCAGAGCCGGTCTGGACGAGATGGAGAAATGAAAATTCTTGACCCTAACAGGACTCGAACTCCGACCTCTCGGTCGTCCAGCCCATAGCCAGTCACTATACCGACTGAGTTGTCCTGGCTCTTGTCAGTTGCCCTTCATGCCGATCTTAAATATGGAAAGTTTAGTTTGTAATTTAGTAGTGACAGCTACTGGATATTGGCCAGCCAACTAAAGTAGAGGTTGATAGGCATACTAATTGAGCATGCCATGAAGACATGGGGGAGTGGAGGTAAAGTTCCACTTTTCGTGACCTCTGCTTTAGATGCAAGTGAGTGATCAACTTCACGCCCCGACCGCTGTACCTCCGGGGAAAGACCCTCCGATACCCATTGGGTGGGCTGCAGAGTGTGTGTGAACGCTCTGAGAAGAGAAAAATCTTGCCGTTGCCGGGACTCGAACCCGGGCTGTCCAGCCCGTAGCTCGGTTCTATACCGTCTGAATTATTCCGACTCCTGTAGTGGTAACGCTGTAGAATTGTATTCGGAAGGCACCCAGTTTGAATCTGGACCTAATTATCTGATAACTTCACAGAATAGTGGTGGTCGTTGGAATCATACCGGACACGACCACTTCATCGTGTTTTCTGGTTCGCCGTTAATATCATCCCGTCATCTGGACGAATGTTAAAAACATCCTCTGCAGTCGAGTCAAAGTAATTTAATACCTCACCATGTAAATCGAATTGTCACGCCGTCCGCAAGTCTTCACTTCAAAAGAGAGGGATAGTTATGAGTTGTCTCTGTGAAACATAACTCTCACGTCCTCTCATACTTGAGCTTTAAACATTTTTGTTTTCTGCTGATGACGTCGGTATGGAAATTGGTGTCTGTGCTCACCTCTGTCAGCGCATGACGTCAGGCAGTAAAGTGAAGATGAAAGTTAATGAAGCAGTACTGGATAATTATCGGCGCATTAAAGGTCAGATCCATGCGTCTGGCCAGGGAGTTACGGCGAAATTAATATTGCCCTTTCTGTTTGCGAACGGGTCCAAGAAAAAAATGAAGTTAGAGAACTCTGATTGGCCTATTTTTGTACAATATTTGCGACAAGGCCGGTCACGGTAGCCGAGCGTTTAAAGGCATGCACTGTCTTCGCTCGCTCGGAAGCCGGGATCTGGGTTCGAATCCCACTCAGAGATGTGTGTTGTGTATGCGGGCGCATTTTTTCTGTGTTTGTGTACAGGTAGAGGCCTTGCGACGAACTGATCACCCGTCCAAGGAGCCCCACCGATTGTCTATGATCTAGTAGACCGAAGTGAAACGGAGAGTTTCATGGAGATAGGCCAAGGCCCAAATTGGGGCTGTAGCAAAAAAAGGGGAAAAATTTGCGACAAGAGCATCACGAGGAGGCCGCATCCTCATGTTTAACCTTAGGAGGTATTTTACTGGATTCCCAGATAAGTTCTGTATTTAGGTTCGCATTGATAGTTGTTGGCTGGATTTAATTTGGCCCATATGGGCCCTATGACCTCTATTTCATGTGATGGAATTAAAAAATTGTAGATCTTCGCGAGACCTGTTTACGGCATTCACGATGTCTCAAGCTCAGACGTTTCTGGGAAAAGAAAAGTCTAAGCTTTAGACATCGTAA